TCCTCTCTCCGACTGAACAGGTGAGCATGTTACTCAGTAGTGGCAGTAGTAGTTGTATTATTTATACATATTGTTGCCTGAGACTGTAATGCGGGTTTTCACCAAGTTAGCTAGTTAAAAATACCCAGCTGTTGTAGAAATACGGCCGCATTTTGTGGCAATAACTGCGCATTACCTTGGCTTAGCTTTGAGAAACAACAACAGACAACACAACATCGAAGCCTTAGCCCAGCCTCAGCCATCCATAAACTCCGGTCAATTATTAGTTCCCCACATGTACAAAATTAAATGACCATATCACTAGAGTTCCCCCGTGAAGTGGTGTTAGCATTAGCGTTCGCTGTTAGCATTAGCGTTCGCTGTTAGCATTAGCGTTAGCTGTTAGCATTAGCTGTCTGTAGTTGTGAATATGATGTGGCTGCTACGATCACTTCTGATCTGTATGAATCGTTTGTTTTTGCCAATAAACATAGTTGCTTGCACTATATATATATATATGTAGGTCTGCATTTCATTCTTCAATGACTAAGTTTTGCAACTTGCACTCTGTATATTAGTTTTATTGTTATAAAAACAATATCTCTTTACCTCAAATCTAACTTCCGTGACCACTACATACATTTTTATTATTATGTATTGAGAATAAGTAAGAAAAGTCTTGCTGACTACTACCAAATAAATTATGAGCATGATATAATATAGACATTGTAATAATTTACATGTCTTCATTGCATTCTTTTCTCTGTATCTTTTCCAGTATGGCCTAAATCAATTGGAATGAGGTCTTCAATGTACAAGAGTTCAAAAGCCTCCATAATGCAAGTTAAATAACTATTAAAAAAAAAACAATGCCATAACGACTAGATACTTTTCTGCTGACCTCTTCTTTCTCTAGTATTGACTGGGAAGACAAGACTTTGCTTCCAGAATTAGAAGAATGGCCATTGTCATATCCTGAGGAAGACTTTACACCCCACATTTGTCATGTAGGTTGTTGTGAATGCATATATGGGACGCAGTGATTATGATAATGATGTTGTGATGTGTGTGTCGTTCATCCCTACAGTTGTGTTGCTGCCCTGAGGTCCAAAATGAATATCCATCATGTTCCAGGAGTCAGTGTTGACAAAACTGTCGCTGAGTTTCTTCAACAATCAAGAGGAGTGAGATAATCACTCGACTCCCAAAACAGCCGATGTAAGTGTCTTTCTCACAATGCACAGTCTCTCACAGTCCAAATAATCATGTTCAAGGATCCTGTGGATCAGGGGCCACTCCTGGTGATCAATAAATACTGATGTTGTTGATGATGAATATATCAAAGTCATATTTGAGTAGATAAAACTGATGTCTCTTCTATTATGTTTCAAAGGAAAATCTCTGCCAGAGGAAGACTCCAGTTCCTTCAACCTGGGCCCCTGAAGCGTGGCTGTCTGTGCGTGTGACTGTGTGTGCGTGTGACTGTGTGTGCTTGTGACTGTGTGTGCTTGTGACTGTGTGTGCTTGTGACTGTGTGTGCTTGTGACTGTGTGTGCTTGTGACTGTGTGTGCTTGTGGCTGTGTGTGCTTGTGACTGCTTGTGACTGTGTGTGCTTGTGACTGTGTGTGCTTGTGGCTGTGTGTGCTTGTGACTGTGTGTGACTGTGTGTGCTTGTGACTGTGTGTGCTTGTGACTGTGTGTGCTTGTGGCTGTGTGTGCGTGGCTGCTTATGAATTATTTTGAGGAAATGTGTTCAAACAAGCTACAACATAAAGATTAACATTTTGTTAGATATCTCTGATAGTGTTCGCTGCAGCAGCGATGGATAAGGACCTGGATAATAACAGTGTTATTCATTTGAGCAAAAAGTGATAACACAAACGTTGCCTTACCATCACTTGTAATTACTTGTCTTAGTAGGGACATTGTGTATATTTTTCCGGCTATAACTTCAAATCTTCTTTTACATAATAAAGTTTCTTAGACTCGTTACAGACTGTATTTGTTTTCCTACTATAAAACAAAGCACATTGAAAGAGGTGTATGTATTTTTTTTTATTTTGAAATAGTACAACTACAAACATATTTCAGAACTGCAGAGTGGACGTGCACCATGGGGGCCGCTGAGGAAAGCACGTTTTCAATGTCTGTTGGCACCTTTCACAGACGCATCAGGGAAAGGATCTGGTCATCAGCTTCTCTGGACAGAGGGCGTTCAGTGCTTCCTGAAAGAACCGTTATGACAAATGACTTTATATATTCTGTTACTTGTAGCTTTTCTTTCAAAGTGGTGAGTTTCCTTACAGTGTAATAGTGTAACGTAATTAGTTATGACAGTATTTTTGCGTTTCGGACAAGCTTTACTGGAATTGTTTTTCAGTCCCACATCTCACTGTACAGCTCTGATACACTTTGATTTTGTCTTCATTCTCTGAACAATAAGCACATAATACAGATGTTGATTACATCAATAAATGTATCTTTATTTTGTGACATTGAGAAGGCAGCTTCCAGTGAGATGCAGCTTTACTTTCACATAATACATTACTACAGTGTTGTCTATAAAGAACTCCAAATATACAAATTGTGAGGAAATAAGTAGCAGTAATGTATTACTTTAAATAACCTTCATGTAAAGCTTTGTTATGTATATGCATTACATTCATCTAATACATATGCACTGTAACAGATTAACATCTGTGCATAATGTTGAGACACGTCACACTGCAATCTGCAACATTATGTTTATCACAACAGTTATCAGTGTACCAACTATAAAAGCAGTGTTATTCTATAAAAGACTGGATTGTTTTTATCTCTTTCTTAGTGATGCTATCCTAGCTAACACCAAGCTGCTTCCAGTGTTATAGCTAGGTTACAACTGAGCTATTCTATGCTAATATTTCACTCCCAGAGTTTGTTGTTAATATACTTACGAGTAGACCTGACGGAGATGAATCTGCTGCTGCCATCACCAACACGATGCGCGTTCATGTGGTGTGACGAGGGGACGGGGGCGGGGCTACTAACTCGCTCAGGCAGAAGAAACTGCCGGAAACGACCAAATCGCTTACTGCTGCTTTAAGTATTGTGTTGAAGCATATAAACCCATAGTACTATTTGAACTTTTTGCTTTAAAAGGAAGATACATTTGAAAGCAGTCCTTTAACACAAAGCCTTCAACATCATTTATTCTGTCTCTTCATTGCCTGTTTGCATAAACAGCACTGTATGAAGACACATGGCGCGGACAGACCTCTCACTCCGCCTGCACCGTGTCCTGGTGACACATTGCTGTAATAAGCCAAAGCCGGCCGCGGTGACACCTACACAGACATATGACGCCTGTAGTGCCCCTCGGACACATTGCGGCTCTCCTTTAATTAGAGCTTATCGCAAACCAGCCGGACGTAAAGTGCATTTGGAGCCTTTTAGAAGAGCCAGCCCGGCCAGTTCGATCTCAGTGCCCCTATTTGTTGAGGTTTCTGAGGCTGGAAACACAATTATTGCACTAATGCTGTAATGAGAGATTGAGGGTGCTTCTTTGAGCCACTTTGAATGAGTTTGGGGTTGTGGGAGGTTTTATTGGCCTTGCTCTTACTGCAGCTTGAGTCCTGACTAGAACCAGGAAGTACAATCACATTAGTCTTGGTCTCTGCACAGGCTTCATGTAGAATAGACTTAAAGGATCTCTCCATGGCCTCGGACCAAAGTACATCTGTGATATCTTAGCCATGTAAGCACAGTCCACAGTCCTCTCTCTCTGGAGCAGAGGGACAGGCCTCCAGCTGCTTCTCTGAGGAACACAGGGACTGGCCTTCTGCTGGGACTGTGAGGATCCCGGGCCTTTATACAAATCTGAAAGTCCCCCTGAAAATATGTCCCTATTCTGACTATGTTTGAAAACAGGTGATAGATAGATAGATAGATAGATAGATAGATACTTTATTGATCCCCCATAGGAGAAATTCAGAAATGCAGGTGATATACTTTTCTGTTTAGCTGTGTTCCTTCTGGTCTCTCTCTCTCTCTGGTCTCTGTGTTCTCTCTCTGGTCTCTCAATAAACTATGGTCTCATTATTTTATCATAAAGTTGTGTAGAAGTGTAATAGGGAAGTTCTCATTGACAAAGTATTGCTCCAAACTCACACAAGTAGACTCTTGCTCAGTAAACATTTGTGTGGTTTTTAATTGTGATTTTGTCCAGACTTGAGTCTTAACAGCTGACCAATCAGGTTTCTCTGTTACTGAAACATTGTACCATTTGTATGACGTCCTCAAGTGTCCAGAAAGGTGCCATATGAATAAAATGTATTCATATTATTAGTATTAATATTAAATCTTCTTAACCAGCATGACCATTGACTGTAAATTTTAACAAATGTTACCGTTGAAAACAATACAATACAATACAATACAATTTATTCTTGTATAGCCATGGTCACAACAGAAGTCATCTCAGAGGACTTAACAAAACCATTGAAATCACCAACACAGGTCAGAGAATCAACAGTTAAAACACATGAAGAATGAATGAAAACTGTTGTGTGATCGGTTTTACCTCTTCAAAATGTCGCAAGTGGCCCCTTCCGCAGGAAGGGTGAAAAAACAATTTCGGAGATGAGGCTGCATCATGTGTGCATGCGTTAGCTGGCACGAGTCTGACACATGTTGTTCATTTTTATTCTTATCTATTCATTCATAATGAAATAATGTGAATAGTTCTACCTTTATCTGCCAGAGCAGTCATTTTGATGGCTCCTTTCAATATTCCACGGCAGTTAGCCATAGTTTTGCTAGTTTTCAAACTACATTTATCAGTTTTTGTATGTATTAAAGATTATAGAAGTATAAATTACTTAGTCTTGATAAAAGTAGTTAAAAAACTAATACTAATTTTTTGGATTTGAATGGGAGCTGTCAAAATGACTACTCTGGGAGTTGGAGTAGTCCTAGTGTTAAACAGATCTAACCTAAAGCCCTGTGTCCGTCGCAGCCTCTGAACCACGAGACGCGTAAGATGCACACATTGAACATTGAGGTGTGGAATCCCACTACCGACCCCCGCTTCTCCCACATGGGGCCCTTCAGGGACAGCACATCTCTGCAGGTCATCGTGGGGGACGTGGACGAGCCCCCACTCTTTTCCATGGACTTCTACATCTTGGACGTGTACGAGAATTCTCCGGCTGGGACGCAGGTGGGCACGGTGTCAGCCCAGGACCCCGACACCACCAACAGCCAGATGAGGTGAGTGTTCTCTGTGTGGGAATGACACATACTGTATGCTCATCTGATTGGGGTGAAGTCGTGCCTCACCAATCACCGATCTTCAGGCATACGGCCACAGGTTTTAGAGTGTGGTTATAAAGTCGGCTATAGGTTTTATAGGTCTGTTTTACCAGGTGTGTCAGGCCTTAACGGGTTAACCACTCCTCCAACTTGGGAGTCACTGCCCGATTGCACTGATCACAATGGGCACTACTATCAGGTTCTGATGGAAGGGTATGAACTTTTTTCAATAAATAGGAAATTAAAGAGAGGGGGAGGAGTTGCATTGTTTGTAAAATCAAATTTGAAATGTAAGACTGTTAATGAAATGACTTTAATAGAAGATGAAATTGAAATGATTACATTAGAAATTATACCCAAGTCAGGAAAAAATGTAATAATTAGTTGCATTTATAGACCACCAGAGAGAAGTGTCGAAGTTTTTACTGACAAAATAATTGAAAAAATAGAAATAGCTAAAAACAAGAGACAAATTATATGTGGAGATTTTAATATCAATTTAGGAAACCCAAGTGAACAAATAGCAAGTGACTTCTTGAACTCAATGAATACCATGTGCCTCTTTGCTTTAATATCAAAACCTACAAGGATAACATCTCAAAGTGCCACAGTAATAGATCATATTTTTACCAATATGAATGAAGATCATATTATGAGTGGAATTTTGACAACAGATATTAGCGATCACCTACCAATATTTGCAATATTTAAACACAATCAGAACACAAAACCAACCAGTTTTGAAAAGACTGCAAGAAGAAACAGGTCGGAAAAAGCCCTAGAGGCACTAAACAGAGATCTTAGACATCAGAAGTGGGATGCGGTCTATGTAAATGATGTCAATATAGCATATAACGCCTTCATAGAAACAATAAGTACATTGTATGATAAAAATTGCAAAATCATATATTTAAAAAACAAAAGGGAAGATCAACCATGGATGACGAAAGGGTTAAAGAATGCTTGTAAAAAGAAAAACTTTCTATACAAATGTTTTATTAAAACTCCATCGAAAGAGACAGAAAACAGGTATAAGAAGTATAAAAACAAATTAATCTGGATCATCAGAAACCGAAAGAAACAATATTACAGTGATAAACTAAATGAGAACAAGAGTAACACACAAGCTACTTGGAGAATATTAAATAATGTAATGAAAAACAACAAAATTAAACATGTGTACCCAAATTATTTTGTAAAGGACAGTCTTGAAATATCCAACGAAATAAACATATCAAATGAATTTTGTAAATACTTTACTAGTATAGGAGACTCGATAGCAAAACAAATTCCAAAGCCAACCTCTAGCACTGAAAACACAATAGTAGATCATGTGAACAGTATTTTTCTTTCCAATGTAGAACAAGACGAAGTACGAAAAATTGTAAATGAATGTGAAAACAAAAGATCAACCGACTATGATGGTTTAGACATGATGATTGTTAAAATCATTTTTGAATCTGTAATTGAGCCTTTTACACACATTTGCAACTTGTCACTAAAAACAGGAACCTTTCCTGATGGTATGAAAACAGCCAAAATAATACCTCTTTACAAAAACGGGGACAAGCACCACTTTTCAAATTATAGACCAGTGTCCTTGCTGCCACAGTTTTCAAAAATCTTGGAAAAAGTATTTGCAATAAGGCTGGATAGCTTTTTACAAAAAGAAAATATATTAATTAAAAATCAATATGGCTTTAGAAAAACACACTCAACTGCAATGGCAATAATGGAACTGGCGGAGAAAATAGCAAGAGAAATAGATCAAAAAAATTATATAGTAAGTATCTTTTTAGACCTGCAAAAGGCTTTTGATGTAATTAACCACCCCAGATTATTATGGAAACTCCAGAAGTATGGAATCAGAGGCATTGCTCAAAAATGGATCTCCAGTTATCTTGAAAATCGCAAACAGTTTGTCCAAATAAACAGTACGTATTCAGAACCATGCGATATCAGTTGGGGGGTGCCGCAAGGCTCAATACTAGGACCAATTTTGTTTATATTATACATGAATGATTTTCCAAAAGCATCAACTGTATTACAAAGCATCTTATTCGCTGATGACACTACATTATTTTACTCTGGAAATAATATAGGAGAGTTAGAAATAGTAATAAACAAAGAACTTGCAAAAATAAAAAGCTGGCTAGATCAAAATAAATTGGCGCTAAACATTAAAAAAACCAATTACATGATATTCAATGATAAAAAGAAAAATCTTGGAAATAGTATATCCATAACAATAGACGGCCTGGAAATCCAAAGGGTAAAGGAAACAACATTTTTGGGAGTCATCATTGACGAGGACCTAAACTGGAAATCTCACATACACTATACAAAAGGAAAATTAGCCAAATCAATTGGTGTGTTACATAAAGTGAAATACTTTCTTACCCACACAGCATTAATTACCTTATATAATACAATGATTATACCATATCTAACCTATTGTGTCAAAATTTGGGGGACAACTTTTAAAACATATACACAGCCAATATTTATTTTACAAAAAAGAGCCCTAAAAATAGTGAACAACAAAAGATATCGAGACTCATCAAATCCTGTTTTTTTAGAGTGTAAGGTGTTAAAATGTTATGATATAGTGGATTATAATATTTTTCAGATATTGTATAAAGCAAATTGCAAATCATTACCCGCAAACATTCAAGAGAACTTTGAAAAAAGACAAAGTCAGTACAATCTGAAAGGAACTGATATCTTTAAAAAACCTAGATTCAGAACAAAAGTCATGGAAAGAACAGTCTCAGTGAAAGGAATCAACTTGTGGAACGCACTTAACAAAGACATTAAAGAGTCAAAAAACATAATAGTTTTTAAGAAACAAATCAAAACTACTATATTCAGGACATATGAGAGTGTTACATGAGAATAAAATCTGGATTTAAATTGATGGTTTGTTTTTGAAGAAATGGAAAGTAAGGTGTGATACATAAAGTGTAAGGTAAAGTGTAAGGTAAAGTATTAAGGTATGTATTATGTAATATATGTGTAAATAATGTAATTTGTTTAAACTGTAAAAGGGATGTGTAAAAATCATTTGGAGCAGTTAAATCTTTTAGATGCAATGGACAACTCTTAACCATGAATAGCACATGACCAAGATCTATAGTGCAGGAAAACAAGTTGTCATGTTGTGATTGCCATTACTGTTTAAACAGATGCAAGTAAATCAGAGCAGACGAGATATGGTTGGATTGGCGGGCTCCCTTTTGCCAAGCGGCCTCAACACCTCGTTTTTAACGCACCACACAGCAAGAATATACAACGCAAATTTTCCTACATTTCCATTGGTCAGGGAGGTTGGGAGTGGGGCGGGTTGAGTGGGGGCTATTACCTTCTCTCGACTGGCTCATTCTACCCACTGTTTTTAATGCACTGCACTATGTAGGGTCTACATACATAACCATGTTTTAACATTAAATAAACAGCTTTGGGTAAAAATGGCAACAAGTGACAAGTGACAACAAGACCTAAGAACATCATTGGTGCGAAATCAGCATTTAAAATTACTATTCATGGAGACGAGTGTAAATTGTATATCTGAGAGAAATATGCCTGTATATCATTTGAACTCCTGTAAAGTGAAAAGTTTGTAACAAGGGGTAGGAAGCATAAGTTTCACTTCTACCTACTCCTTTTCGAATTATGCATATATATGTTTCTTCTTTTTGTTTTGTTTTGTATTGCGCATGTAATTCGAAATAAACACTACTACTACTACTACTACTACTATCACCTTTACATTCACACCCTCTCCAGCCCCTCTCACTATTGCCGCCTTTACCTTCAGGTCCTCTCAAGCTCTGCTTTGAATCCTTGGTATTTCTCGAGGTTTTTAGCTCTTTTTTTCTGACGTTACCATTGCTTGGAATTGCCATGTCCACCACGGCTTTCCTCTGCCCTTTGTCTTCCACTACAATGTCTGGTTGATGCAATCACCAATTCGGTTAGTCTGTATCTGGAAGTCCCACAGGCTCTACACAGATGTTCCTGTACACTATGGCAGCCACTTGGTTGCTGTCTCATGACGATCTAAACCAAGCTCACATTCCCTATTAGTGGGTGAACGATCCAATGCTTAGTGAATTCTGCTTCACAAAGATAGATAGGAAAAGCCGACATGGAAGGATCAGGTTTTTATTAAAGTTTTTCAACAGTTGTCAGTTTCAGTCAGCTTCTTTTTTGGCACAAAAAATAGCATTTGACGAGGCAACAGCTTGTTTGGTTGAAAAAGATCTAAATGATCCCAAACCAATGTATCATTTATACTGCGCCTCTCCACTGAAAGCTTTCAAACCAGGGAGGCGTGTTTAAACGGTCTGAATCAATGAAAAGCTGAGAAACTCGTGCCAACAAAAGGCTTCGAGACAGCTGCAGACTAGAAAGACACTGACACGTTTATTACGTGACCAGCTGTTTTGATACACGCTCCAACCCACTGAAAATTTTGGTCCTGTAAATATGGATTACATGTTTTCTGGCGTTGTTACAGAACGGCTCAGACCTGATAGAAGATAATCACTGTAGACGTCTCTTCCTGATGGAGGCTTTGTTACATTCCCTCTGTTTGTTATGAAGCTCTCTCTACCCCTTGATAAGGAAGCCTGTCTATTGTTGCTTCTGTTGCTCAAGGAACTCACATTGCAGAAAGTGATGGATAAGTAAAATATTGCTCAAACTTCTATTTGAGCAATATTTGTACAATACTCACGTTAGATTTTAGTTTTTAGTTATGAAAGAGTAATTACTGCTTATGTACATTCATGCTTACTTTGTGACATTTTAAGGTTGTAAATTATTGTCAAAAAATGGACATGACTCATAATTTGGTACAGAAAGGAATACCAAGATTATCAGAGTTCAAATAAAAAAATATTGAATTCTCTGTACAATTAAAACTCTCTGAGCTCTTATTTCCCTAACTAACCCTATGAGCTGAGCCAATTTAACTATCCCTCCAGGCCTGAAAATGTAATGAGAGGACAACCAGTTGCTCTGAGAAGTCCTCTCTCTCTGTCCCTGGCTCAGACTGACTCATATCACAAATCGCATAAAGAAAAATGTGCAGAAGGCGCATGGCTCGTCAGGAGACGGCATCTTTTGGTCCATATATGGTAAGACTGACTGAGACCCTGGTCTGCGTCTGGTCTAGTCCGGTCTCCTGTTTGGTGAGATAAGGACGACTCCCTTTCTGAAATAACATTTTCAAGGCTATCTAATGTCCATTGTTTTGCTGTAAACTCATTGACCTCAGGAAAACACATCATATACACACAATAAGATATAGAATTTCACACACACAAAAATTAAATGCTGACACCCGGATGACAGAAAAAAGAAGTGTATCTGTGTGTGCTGTATTTAAAATCTACAACAGTATGTAGTTTATTAATGTAGATTGTTAATTCAAATGCCTTTTTTGGACTCTTGGTAATCAAAATTCCAAGCCCGTTGGAACCCCTTTTCTCCAAGGTCTGAACAGCTTCTGGGCTGGTTCTGGTTCAGCTTGGTTTGTCACCATCACAGAGCACAAGCTAGCAACCATAAAAAACACACTTGTTAAGGTCACAACTGTTTTTGCTGTATTTCATTTATATTCTCAGATTTCCATTGGTTTGAATTATAGCACTCTGGGGTTCTAAGTACTTTCAGACTTCTGGGGTCTTGTAAACCTAAACGTAACTTAAAACACTTTCGCAGTTGCCATACTCACACATGACTATCGTGTCCAGGTATTTCATTGAGAAAGAGGAAGGCCGAGCCATGTTCTTCACCATTGGAGTGAATAGTGGGCTGATCCGGACCAACCAGGCTCTGGACCGCGAGGAGACGGCTTGGCATAACCTCACCGTGATGGCTGCAGAGGTTGGTAAGTTCACTCCACTTACGATCATTTGAAACATGTGTCCTTTATGTGGCCTCCACACGTGGAAACAGATTTCTACACGCATTAAAAGGTGGGGTACTAAACATTTATTTCCCATAACGCAAAAAAATGGCGCGTCAGCGCCACCTCCTTTGCGCGGTGCGGCGAGGGCCGTTAGATGCCGCTTGCGGCTTTAATTTGTATTCCTCTCCCTCTTTCCCTGACTAAAGTTGCCAGATATGCATCAAATACAGCAGCAAACACAAGGAAAGGTTTTATCAGTTGCCATTATAGCCGTGCTAATGTTGGAACGTATTTCTTCAGTGTATCAGCATCAGGGTGTCCTCCAGAAGGGAGTGGGGGGATACATACATGTATACAAGTCCCACATCAAAAAGAGACTAACATTATTTTAATTGGGGTACATGTGGTCTCATCAAATGGTTCTTTTTACAATTAAGTTTTCTCAATTATAAAGAAAATAATATCTACCCTTTATGTAATGATGAAATTGTCATTATTATTGACTAATTGACTACCAGACCTTTTTCAGATCAGGGAAGTGCGTTCTGCCAGTGTTTTCAGGGGATTTGACTTTGAAGAGCCACAGAACATTCAGTTGTTTGACTTTAGAAACACCAAATGAGACATTAGGCTCTTAGCTTTAATCAGCAAAAAAAATGGCTTGTTTTTAGCTTTCACTGTTCTTGAGCAATCTGTCAAAGAATATAATATATATAGTTTAATCCAAAATATGTATCTAACCTGGATTCAAACATGGCTCACAGCAGTGCTGGCACTGTGACATAACCACTAGACCACTATTGCATACTGTATTAGAAACTACTATTCGCAGGCAGCTTTTTCAACTGTAAATGAAGACCGTAGCAAGTTTGGCTTCAGACAAAATGTTTTTATCCGTCTTCAATTGTCTTAATTTTTCAAAGGCGTCCAAATATAAATCCTCGTTTTAGTCTTTGTTTTGTCATGAAGGATTTGAGAATCATCAAGGCCTGTGTACACTCGCGCGGCGCTGGTTACGTTGGACCTATAAAACCACAGTTGGTGGTACACTTGCACGTTCCCCTTACGGAGTTTTGAAGAGAATGTTGTAATCCCACAACCAACCACGTGATGGCGATCTCACAGGAGTTGCCGGTGAAACCAAAGCACTCCCATTTACGCAGCTACTTTCTCCTCTTCAGAACTTTAACAATAGCAAACCAAGCCGTTTGAGATCATTACATATGTTTCTACTGTAGGTTTATATGATAGTTCAATGGACTCATCGTTTCAACTCATTTAACTGTGATGCTGTGAATAAAGACACAGTTCTTGTTGGAAACAATAAGTGGTGAATATCTGAGACAAACATGAACTATTTAAAAGTGCAGGAGGAATGCAACAGACGCGATGAGCTACGAGTGCAGATTCAAACAAAGACAGGAACAGTGCAAAAGAAACGACTGCACAGTTTATAGGTTATATATAGGTTGGATATGCAACAGAACTCTAGTCTACAGTCTCCGCGTATATCAGGCTCTGCCACGAGCCCAAACTGCTTTTCCTTCGGTTCCTTCGAAGCTTGAAGCAGTCTGCTCCGAAGTGCCTCGTCCATGCTCCTTGCGGCCGCTCCATGCTTCCGCCCAAAACACACACACGGACCAATCACAGCGGAGCTTCCTTGCGGCGACCCTTACGTACTGTAGTTAGACAATGGTGCTTTCAGACCGGATCATGCGTTGCGTCGGGTTTGAATGCAAAGTCTATGGTGACGCGCGTTCGGCCGTCACAACGCACAGACCGCTCTGTTCACACGAACGGACTGTTCAGTAGAGACGCACGGACTTGGCAGGGAAGTGAAAAGGGAGGAGCAGGAGCGATTCTGCTCATCCTTTCCTTGGGACGTTCGTGCGACAACCAATCAAAGAGCAGCAAAGTGGTCACGGGGACATTAGCGGACTGAGCGAGCAGACTGAAAATACTCAAACAGCCAAAACAGGACCCACACCAGGCTTCACCAGAACTCAAACCAGGGTTGACAATGGGGGACTCTGTGCTTGTGAAAATATGCGTTGTCATGCTCCCGTGACCTTATGCAACTGCTTCGAGTGTGTTCGCCGATGCTGAAATTCCGTTTAATAATATGAAAAAAACGTATGGCGCACCTCCGTGAACACGTACTGCTGTTATATAAAGCCCGTGGAATGTCTGTGAGCAAAGACACGCGGCAAAGCTGCATATTGGAGAAGATCTGTACTCAAGAAGCCGCTAGCATAGCTCTGTTAGCATCAGAGCCGGCCGGCTACTTCCGGTACTTCCGGTTCTGGTGTGAAGACCCCTGCGTCTGAAAATTAGAGAATGTGTGTTTGGTGAGCGGGGCTTCAGCATTTCAGCGTTGGCGGTGTGAAAGCCCCATTAGGGCCTTGTGGTGATCCACGCGTTGCGCAAGTGACGTCACGGCGCCACCGTAAGCTCCGCGCTACGCGACTATACACTAGGCTTAAGACCTTTTTTAGTTTTGCGGCCACATGTTTACCAGTGAGATTAGCTATCCGTGGGGAGTTCTAGCAACCCGGATCACAGACTTCCTGACTGGTGAAACGGCAAGGGCAGGATATCGAAATATAAACAATAACAAGATTTACTGCCTTCAGTCTAATCCTCTCCCAAAGCTCCAGATCCTCTGTCTGAATGTGAGCCTCGGCAATGCTAAGCCTCTTTGCACCAAACGCACGGCTTCTTAGCCATCGCAAATTATAGGAGGGTTTTATTGGAAATGTGAGCAACTGCTCTCCTCACACTAAAAACCATCTCAGATGTGTTTCTCACACCAGAAACGAACCTTTCATATGTGTGTGTTGAAGTTCACATTTCAAGTAATAGAATTATCAAATATATTATAGGAATATATACACGCTCACACACATACACTAAAAGACGCTTCACTAGCCTGGCCTTAGCCATCCGTACACTCCGGTCAATACTAATTTCCCTGCATGTAACGTCTGGGTCTGGTCCGTGTGTTTGCGATTACATCGGTTGAATTCAAGCCGACCAATTAGCGAGCGCGGGAGGCAGGTGTTGTAGTTATATGTGGGTGACGTCAAGAGTATGCGCCGAACGGGCTGGTTGAAGTTTGGTCGAAGAATGCGATAGTAAAGTATTCCGGTCTAGTTCTATCAAGAAATTGAAGCCAGAGCAAGAGGACTGCACACCAAAAGTCATTGCTGGCAAAGATTGTGGCGCTACCCCCCACAGGCAACAGAGGAGATGGCTTGGCTAAATGCTAACGACTCCCTCAGGCGCATTACTTCTACGTCATGGTGCTACGTCCCTTAGGACTTCGCTAGTGGGATATCACGTGACCCCCAGGTCACACGCCAGAGAGATCAAATATATATAAATATGCTCCAATCACTAGCGACCCTCCTCTATAAAAGACCCTGCACAAGGCCGCGCCCCCTCTTTCACTCTGGCGCCGATTGAGATCATACTGTCTGCTGAGATGTCTGCCTCGACTGCACGTCCGATTTCCCCTTCGCCCTCCCGCGTCGGACGTCGTCGTTGCTTGGAGTGTCGGGTCAGGCTCCCGCGCACGGACCAGCATTCACGCTGTTTCTTGTGCCTGGGCTCGGGCCATGCGGCGGAGAGCGATAGCTGCGCCTCGTGTCTCGCTCTCCCCAGAGAGGAGAGTGAGCGCAGGCGTGCGTTCTCCAGTGCTCCAGCACCCGGAGAACTCCAGCGAGACCCGGAGCCGGACCGGTTCCCACTGGATCACATGCCCATTCTCTACTCCTCCACGGCGGCCATGATGAACGCTCCTCTTCCACCGCAGCCGGACCAGACGGTGGAGGACTTCACCTCGGTGGGCGCCACCACTCGAGGGAGGAGAAGGAAGCAACCCACGTTGTGCCCGCGGATGGACCCGATCCTCCATTACGCGACACGTGAGTGGCCAAAGCCCCTAGCAGCCAAGAGGCCTGCTCTGGGGTACGGCATGTACTGCAGCGTGCAGGACTGGTCCTGGGCCGGTGGTGTCCCGGACATCGAGGACTCAGTCCGCTTGGCTCTGCTGCCCTCCGCATCCGTGTGGCCTGGCGCCAGACCTCTCCTTCCCTCCGAGCGGGACAGGATGTCTTTGGCTATGCTGGACATATGTTATGCCAACGCGGCTCAGGTCGTCGCCCTGGCTAACAACATGGCCTTTATCACGGGGGCCCTGGATAGGTGGCTCTCCGCTGACCAGGCGCTCAGCAGAGACCTCCTGACAGAGGCGAGGACTACCTCCGCGGCTCTCCTGCGCATGAGCCAGGCCTTTGCCATGGATGGTGGCCGCACCATGGCTGCAGCCCAAGTCGGGGCCAGGCACCTCTGGCTTGGGCTAGCAAACATCAGGGAGGCGGAGAAGAGGCTGTTGGACCTGCCCGTGTCCCAGACGTCCCTGACATGCAGGCCCTGGTGGACAGACTGGAGTCTGCGGCCAAGGACTCGGCTAGGCTAGCACCGCACCTAGCTCCGAGGCGCGAGGCCCACCAAGCTGCACGGAGCCTGGACAGAGGCAGAGATCGCTCGTTCAGGAGGTGCTCCGCTCCCTACCCACGCTCCACCATCCATCGATCGTTCCCCTTCGACGAGACCCCCGGGTCCGGACAGACCCACGGGAGGCCCGAGGGAGCAGCGCACCCACCACCGGCCTCCTGTACTTAAGTACAGGAGGCCGGGGTGGCAAAACTTTGCTAACAAAGGCCGTCCGGCATTTCATCAGTACTCGTTGTCTGAGTCTCATTTGGGGGTACGTAACATAATGTGTCTGCTTGTGTTACTTCCCGAGCCCATAATGTTGCCCCACTAGGCCTGCAGCCCCCAGAGCAGGGTGTGCAGTGTGCTACGCGGGCTACGAGCTCCGGTCCACTGATCCATGCTATGCCCTCCGAGAGGGGGTCAAGCGGAGGGATCTGGTGAGTAGTGGTGTGTGTGCTTCGGTCGAACACGTGTTAGCT